ACCTGCCTGAATCCTCAGCTCTAAGAAACTAAAACAGATGAAGATGTGCCTCCTAGGAACTAATCACACTATTATTCAAATGGAAATAAAAGAGATGCATGGTTCCAACGGCAGAAATGAAGAAAACTTCCCAACATTACAATCGACAGGCTGAGCTCCGGGTGGTACTCAGCAGTTTGGAGATAGGAAGGTCCTGTTTTGGAATGGGCTTGGTTCCAAGAGCTTTTCCAACTGGGGTTTTAAGAACTGAGCCCCTTCTCCCCTAGAAACAATATTGGAAACTGTACCTAGGAGTAGAGTACAGCCAGGAAAGGTCACAAAAGCATCTACCCTACAGTAAGTTTAATTGTGGTACTAACCCAGTGTTTGGCCTAGGAAGAAGATGTCATTCATATATGATGAAAATCAGAGAAAGCAGACATACTTCAGTTTTTCTTTTGCCTACTCTAGGCAAAATTTAGATCTCAGCTGAAAGAAACAGAAGTCAATTTTGCCCAAGTCTTCCTCTCTGAGCTGACCTACCCTATAGTCTTCTGCACTGGTACCCCATGTCATTACAGTGCTTATCACCTGCACCCTAGTCAGATATTCCTGACCTGCAAAGTACCCCATGCCTCTAAACTACCTATTTTCCCTAACTCCTCAAATCTCAAGACCAAGATTTGGCTGCATGGCTTACTGTCTCTGTGACTTTGGGCAGTTTAAATTATGCACCCCTCAACCTGTTAAATGAGGATGATATATCGCTAATAGCGTTAATCTGAAAATTAAATGAAAAAAATGTATATTATGGGGCCGGCCTGGTGGCGCAGCAGTTAAGTGCATGTGCTCTGCTTCAGCAGCCCGGGGTTTGCAGGTTCGGATCCCAGGTGTGCACCGACGCACTGCTTGTCAAGCCATGCTGTGGTGGCGTCCCATATAACGTAGAGGAAGATGGGCACAGATAGTAGCCCAGGGCCAGTCTTCCTCAGCAAAAAAGACGAGGATGGGCAACGAATGTTAGCTCAGGGTTGGTCTTCCTCAGAAAAAAAAAAATGTATATTATATGCCTAATACCCCTGACGCTCCACAGGTTCTCAATAATACAGCAGCTTATTACTTTGTTTATTTCATTTAAAAGAGCCAAGTAGTTTGTATTTTTTAAAAACTATACAAATGTATAATCTATTGCATTAGATGGTTATTAGATATGAATTAAAATTTTAAATGTTTAAAATATATCCCATTGTTATCTCTCCAGTACATCCTTAAAAAAACATTGTTTTTCCTAATACCTTCATACAAAATGGATCTGATTACCCCACGCATACCCTACCTAGCCCCCACCATTAGTTATACAGGCTCAAACATGTCTCTATATGTATCTAAGAACCACACCATTAGAAAGACAACAATAAGCCTCAAAATTATCATTTAAATTTTAAAATGCTGAGATTTTGCCCAGTGTTTTAAATAACCTTAATCACCACATCCTCTGTTTGATTATAGAACACACATAACCAAAGGTTTATTAACTACTACTTCAAATCCTCAATCTACCAATAATATTGACTAATAGGAAAGGCCATCCTAAAAAATATCATATTTGACTTTTATAAGTAGTAAAAAATTACAAAGGAGTAAAAATAATGGTGAAAAATATGTCAAAGTTAGATGCCTCTTTCTACCCTTTGCTTCCATGCTCAAGAATCCTAGAACTCACTCTAAATTGTGAAATTTGAGTCTGTCCCCAGCCAGAGCAGCAGACTTAATGCACCATTAATCTGATCTGCTCTCAGCCGCCAATTGAAATAGTCACAGTCATTCGATTTTTAAGGAAAAGACAGTACTGCAGAAGTACATTCCAGAGGTCTTTTCATAAAAACCATCCTGTGCGCTCCATCTGCATGTGCAATCTGCTTGTGTATTTTCAGCCAGCTTGCAGGAGCAGATTAATGCGTACAATTAGAAAGCAACCTCACAGGCATTCAATAAACTGCCTTCATTATTACACACAGGAGAGTCCCCTTTGGATGTCAATAAAAGCCTAGTTTTCTGCCTGTTAGCTAAATAATTGACAACACTAAAAATAATCAGAAGCAAATGAACGAAGTCAGGAACAAGGTGTTAAGAAAGAGCACATTAAGATTCTCACGGTGGTGCCCCAGGATGCTATCATGAGCTTCTTCTCCAGCAACTTGGATTTACAGTCTGCTCAAGTCCAAGATTGCCCTTCTCTACAGAAAAAAACACACCATTCCTGGTTCACTATTTGAACCACACATCACAGCATGCTGAAACTAGCAAGGACATGAGGTATTGACTAGTTAGAAAGAATTTCTTACTTGTGTTTCTATTTTGTGTTCCTTAGTTTGACAGCTTCAGGAGAATCTAATTTCGGGGTGGGGGGAGATGGGGAACAGCCTGGTTGGTCCGGTGAAATCTTTGTGCTGTTAAAATTCTAACAGCTCTCCTAGACAATTTTTCCACCATAAACTAATTCTAAGAAGATATGAAAAAGGCTTGTTATACAGAGGATCCATCTTTTCTAAGTCTCTTTCATATTTCAAGCTATATAATGGTCATTCATTTCATGAGCTATTGCTATTGGCCTTTTAACTTTAAAAGTAGTTCAAAATAAAATATTCTTTAAAAAAAAAAAACTCACACATATACTACTTCTCGTGTTTCTCAATAGGCTTTAAAAATCAATTTGAGATACTTCTCATTTTTAGCCAACTTCTCTTTTTCCTGGTTAACTGAGACTTTCACGATAAGCAGAAGAAAGAGCAAGAGTGAAATGTGCGTGTAATTGAATTCAGCTCCAGTGATAGTGTAAGAGGTGGCTGAGGGTAAAATTCTTTTTTTTCTTACAGAAAAAGGGTGATTGATCTCTAGTATTTAGTAAAACACAAACTCAAGAAGCTGGAAGACTATGAAAAAAAGGAGGTTTGATGACACAAGCTCCCACATCCCTTAAAACTCTAAAAATCACTCATCCTTCACCTTATCATGTTTAAAACTCTCCAGAGAATGGACTCCTTCAACTTCCCAGTCCTGTACCTAATTGGTAAGCATTGGTAAGCAAGTCTTTCCTTTTCCAGTGTAAAGCTAGGATGTCACATTTGTTCCTATTGTGATTCTAGACTACTAATGTCGCCATGCATCCCCTATCTCCTTCAACTTCTCTGGTTGGCCTAGAAGTAAACTCTCATCCATTCTCTACACATGAAGGGGAAGGCAATAATACTTTAACACTCTTAATCTATTGCCTTCTTCCTGTCATCTCTCTTTAAGACAGCCAGTGTCTCCTGCTCTTTAGCTCCCCACCAGCTCCCTCACTCCCATGCCTGCCTTTGAAGAAGAATGGGGAGGGCCAGCCCCGTGGCTTAGCGGTTAAGTGCGCGCGCTCCGCTGCTGGCAGCCCGGGGTTCGGATCCCGGGCACGCACCGACGCACCGCTTCTCCAGCCATGCTGAGGCTGCGTCACACATACAGCAACTAGAAGGATGTGCAGCTATGACATACAACTATCTACTGGGGCTTTGGGGGGAAAAAAATAAATGAAATAAAAATCTTTAAAATAAAAAAAAAGAAGAATGGGGAAAGAGAGGCTATGGATTCTATGACTAAAATGAGAGTAATGCCTATTTTAACTTAAAGAAGATAATGTCACTCATTAGCACTTCCACCCAACCCCATTCCATCTCCCACCCATTTCCCGGCTTGGGTAGCAGAGGCCAAGTACCTAACTTGCTAAGGGCCAAAGAGAAGAGCTGAGAAACTTCTTTTCCATTCATACCTCTGAGTCTTAAAGCAAGACGGAGCTGCTTATGATAGAGGCAGGATAATTTCAGTGGAAGAAGAAAAACAGAGGACGCTGTACCTAGAGGAGGAACATGCTTTCGGGTGTCACATATGCCAAACATCAAAATAACAGTAAATTCTGCAAATGAGGTACAACAATGGGAAAAGAGAAGAGGAGGCAATCAGAGAACAATCCATATGAAAGTGAGAGGTTAATTACTAGTTCTGGTGGGACCAGAAATCTCTATTAGGTCTCTGCAAAATAAAAGTTGCATGATTCCACTCAACAAGGATCTTTGCAGGAAGTTTCATTTCAAGTCCCCATAAAATTCAGTCACTTTTATGCCATATATATAAGACATTTTATTTAATCCTTACAAATGGCCTATGGGAGAGATATTATCATCCATATTAAAAAAAATAAAAAAACTGGGGGTTCAAAGAGGTTTAGTAGTTTGTCCAAGGTCACAGGTGGGGAATGGAGCTAGGATTCTGAATCCAGATCTGCTTGGTTTTAATTCTACCACATTTGGAATTAACCTAAGCCAGAAATATGGTTCTTTGGTTTTATCTGTTGTTTTAAGCAGTGCACAGGTAACCCAGCTACTTAGAGCTAGGACACAAGCTTATCTTTAAAGCCAGTATAACAGAGTAGATTATCTATACTATAAAGGACATAACAGTTGCCCTATACCTATCAGCTGCTGTTATTCACAAATCATACTGGAAAAAGTATCTTAGTACATGACCACAGTTGAGAGTTTTGCTAATAATTGCTAAATAATTTCTCAATTCTTGTCTATAAAAATACAAGTGTGTAATATCCCACAGTCCATTAGATAAATCCCTACTTTATATTCTGCTTGGGTACTTCTTTTCCAATGCCCTCGTCCTTATATTGGTGTTTGGGAAGTTAACATAATCAGAAGTACTCTGAATCACCAAAGAATCAAGCTCTCCACGTTATTTATGATGGGGCATTCCTCAAATTTATTAGTATTATTTCTAATCAATTGACGACTAAAGAATACTTTGGTGAGTATAGATATCTCCAACCTTAGAACCTCACTTACATAATGACAGAGTTCAATTACATAATTAATATAACAGTCAATAATTCAATACCAGATGTTTTGAAAAGTTACCGTCACCTAGAACGCACAGAGTGAACAATAAGCCAATAAATGTACAAAGTTCTGAAAACATAAACTTACTATTGCTGATGCTCTCTAAATGCTTCTCTTCTGAGGTTTTCTTGAAGTCTTTTTTTCTCCTCTAGTTTACTGCTCTGAAATTATAAATATCAAAATGTAATCTATTAGGAAAGCTTTAAGCAGAATCATGATGTTAAAGTTACCTAAGGTCCAAAATCCTTAGGCTCAAGTGGCCTCAATAGTTCAATAGGGTACCTACCAGGACTTCCAAGATGGTGTCCCTCTCACAACCCTGGGCACTACACTGAAAGCCAGAAGCCCAAGTTCTTTCCATGGCTTCCCTCTCCCAATTTGATTGGTATAATCACAGAATCAGTATTTCACATTTTTATTCTCTAGTTCAAAAGACAACAACGTTTATATTTTAAGCAATGTTTTCACAACGTTCTAAGGGAAACATGAAATTTCCACACCAAGTATGTTAAATTAAAATTATAATAAATGGTTAAATAGTTCATACAAAATTTATATATACGCTCACATTCCACTAAAGCATTCAGGAAAAGATTTTCAATAAGCCATCCCAACTCCCTCTGACTTGGAATCAGATAGTTAAAGCTGTTGAGAGACTGAACAGCAAATGTCATAAAAAAGCCATCCACTTGAATAGAAAAGAGTTCTCTCTCTTTTTTTTAATTAGTTGTCTGGAGAGTCTAGAAACAAAGAACTTCATATTTGATATTACTGTCACCATGGCTCTGGCATATTTTAATCCAGCTTCAATAACCCAGGAACACTTGCTTTTTTTTCACTATGACACAACTGTCATTTTTTTTTTAAACTTGCCTATGAAAAACAAGAAAAATTCCTAGACAACAAATTTAATGGGGAGTTGAAACAAGCTCTACAACACAGGAGAGACTTGAAGTTTTAAATGAATCCAAAGGAGACAGCAAGCAGCTAGGTCTGCTTTAATAAAAAGAACTGGATTTGCCTACCAGGAAGACCTGTGAAAAAGGAATAATAGAAATCATCACTTCCAAACCCTGAGATGAGTTTGGCTCCATCTTTCAAAGAGGAGAAAAAATTATTCATATTGTTCATATCCATGAAAGTCTTCATTCACACAAAACTACTTACTAGTTCCATTTTGAAAGGTAAAATGGATGACTTCAGTTTCAGAAAAAACAAAGGAAATTTACTACAATCAAAGGGAATCAACTACAAGACAAAGCAATTGGATTATTAATGAAACACAGGTCTAGGAAGCAAACTAATAGAGAACTGTGAAACCAAATAAACATGATCCCAATCTAGAAAAAAATCCTGACTCATGAGACCAAACTGGTCAGTTGTCATGAGCTCCCAACCTCTCTGAGGATTAAAAACAAAAAGGATAAAAGACAGCAAGCAAGCAATAAGTATTGATTAAACTAGTATTAAGAATGCTACTTTGAGAATAGTGAGAACACCACACAAGCATCTAGAGACCAAGGCTGTGTTCCTTTAACAAGGTCAGAAATTAGACTGGTTTTAATCTCTTCACTAATAGATAATCATTGAACCTAACTCACAGAAACAGTTACACAGTAGCTAAATTCTATCCAACAAAGGCCTGTTTATCCCTCAGAAGTTGATAGAGAAGTATTTTTCAAAATATAGGAGTACTTGAGAAATTGTATTCAATACCCACCAGTGTAGGTATGTGTTTTAGTATATTAATCCAAATATATGGATATAGTCAGACTGTTTATTTCTTTCCATTTAACAGCGAGCTAAGGATTCACCCAAACGTACTTACACATATATATATACAAATGCAGCATGTAAAATATCTAAGAATCAGAAGAAAAAAATATGGAATCAGCTTTAGGGCCACCAACACTGAGTGACCATAAATCATTTAACATCACTAAATCTCATTTATTCAACAAACATCTATCAAATATCTATCATATGCTTGCTACTATGTTAGATGCTGAGAATAGAGCTATGAACAGAGCAGTGCCTACTCTGGAAAATTTTTGAGGCTAGCTGGAAACAGACAAGAAAGCAATGATGGTACTATGTAAAATATGTTAGAGGTAGAGGTTTGCAAATAATGTAATATGAACACATAGAAAATGCACAGAAGTGGGTAGTCAGGAAATGATCTCAACAGTTCCGTAAACATTCGTTCAATGCCTAATAAGTTGCAGACCCCAACCTAGGCACAGTTGCTCAGAGGTTGAATAATACTCAGAATGTGGTTTCTAATCTCGGGTTCATAGATGAGCTGTGTGTATGCTCATTTTTATGGAGAGTGGGCTCAGAGCTTTCTTCAGATTCCCCAGAGGGCTGATGATCAGATAAAAGGATGAGAACTATGGATCTAAGGAGAGGTAGAAATTCTAGGTAGAGACCAAACTTAAACAAGCAAGAGTTTTCCAGAAGGTGATGGGAGCTAGGGCTACTGCACTCCATTGTCCTGGTTGCTCACTGCCCAAGGGGGCTGAAAGACGGGGTTGGAAAGGCTAAAATAGAGCCAGCTTTCAGCTCGCCAAGCCTTGCATCCCAGCATGGGGGGCTTCAGTGCAATCGAGGTATCTTTTTCTATTTCTACAAAGGTACCATCTATCACCAATCTGAGCACACACCGAACTGACTGCCCAGATGGAGAATCATTTCTAATATGCACAAAGGTAATAATGGGTTAGTAGTGGCCTTAGCAGGGCAAAGGGCATTCCCATAACTTACAATATATTCAACATACAAAGGCTCAAGAGAATATGCCAGTTCAAGGAACCCCAAGAAGCTCATGGACAAACTGAAAGGTGTTTGTAGTGAGATGGGTGAAAGACAAGGTTGAGGAAGTAGGAAGAGGCGATTATAAAGGAATTTATATGCCAAGTAAAGGAGTGTGGACTTCATTAAAGGCAATGATGAGCCATAATATTATTTTAAGCAGAATAGCAAGCAGCTCACTCTCAAAGCAACATGGAGGGTAAACTGCAGAAAGGACCACAAACACAAAAACCAATAGAGTGGTCTCCCAGTAATCCAGCCCATAAATTACGAGTCCCAAAGGACAGAGAGGAAAAGACAAATCAGGAAAAATGTAGGAGACAGAAATAATAGGAGGAAAAAAACAAGAGGAGGTATGACTGTATCTGTATAAGATGAGTAAGAAAAGAGAGAAGAATACAAGATGACTATCATTTAAGAGCATCAGAAAGAATATACGAGTTCAGTTGTGAACTTACTGCATTTGAGATATACTTGTGGAACATCTACAGAGAAATAAAGCATACGGTAAAATAGTCATGTTTAACGACGGAGATACATTCTGAGAAACACGTCGTTAGGGATTTCGTCATTGTGCGAACATCATAGAGTACACTCACACAAATCTAGACAGCACAACCTATTACCCACCTAAGCTATACGGTACTAATCTCATGGGACCACCATCATATATGCAGTCCATCATTGACTGAAACATCATTAGGCAGCACACAACTGTATATGGTTCTGGGATTCAGGAATATGGTCTGGCCTGGAGATATGGGATATGGACTTTAGAAATCACCAGCACAAGCAATAACTAAACCCTTAAATGTGGAAACATGGGGGCTTTTACTTAAGGATAGGATGGCATAGACATAGGGATATTAGAGAAGACCAATGGATGGGACTTGAGGGAACATCATTAGTAGAAAAATCAAGCGGAGGAAAAGGATCCAGAGGAAATCCAGAGAGGTGGAACTTGAAGGACAGAGTACTTAAGAGTTATAACATTACAAAGAGTTTAAATAAATTAGGAATTAAACAGTCTCCATTGTGTTTTCCAATTAAGAGCCCCATTGGTAACCTTGGCTAGATCACTATCAGTGAAGCACTAGAGGCAGAAGTCAAACTCAGCCCACCAAGGAACAAGTAAAGGTAAGGACTCAAAGAAGGTATGTTCCTAAGCCAGCTGAGCTCAGCATAACCTGGGGAACATTCTTAAAACAGGTTCTTTGGTTCAGGTGAATGCTCAAGAGTCAGTCCACAGACCAGCATGTGGACACCAAATGTGGTAGAGGCTTCAAGAAGTTGAGCCATGATGTTTGGGTTGGAGGACTTGAAAGCAGACCAGAATAGAGACAGGCACTTTGTTTTTAAGATGAGAGATTTGAGTATGATTATATCCAGACAGAGAGGGGAAAAAAAAATAAGAAAGTAACAGGAGAAAAGGAGACTTAACTGATGGAGCAGAAGGTTCCTGAGGAGATGAGGGGAGAAGAGATGGTGAACACAGGTGGAAGAATCCATCGTAGCAACAAGGAAAAGCACTTTCTTATTCCTCCTGTGATGGGATGGTGGTAGGAACCACAAAGGAAGAGTAAGGAAACAGAAAAATAAAGATACTTAGGGCCTAATGGCCTTTCTTTCCTAGAAGGTGAGAGATGAGATCATGTGCTGAGAACGAAAGACGAGGATAGGAAGAATGTGAAGGGAGGAAAGATCTTGGTAACTAGAGATGGGCCTCGACTGCAAAGGAAAATGCCAGGCATTGGGCATTGCTGAAGACCCACTGGAGAGGAAGCCCAGAAATCTGGTGTGGCAAAAAAAAAAAGCCATGTGTGTCTTTTTTCTCCAGCAATTTCATTCATGTGGGTTTAGTGGAAATGAAATAATTGAACCAATCCCTCAATGTGTAAAATAAGAATAATCCTCTCTCTGCCTTCCACACAAGAGGTTGATGTAACAGAGTCAAATGAAAGAGTGTTAATGTGTTTCCTTACATTTATAATTCATTAGCTTAGGGCACCCTTATTATGAGTGCTTACTAAGTGCTAGGCATTATACTAAGGGCTTTGCACGTATGGAATCCTTTAAGCCTACCAGTCCCATCATTATATTATTATTACGCCCGTTTTACAGGCAAGGAGAGTGAAACATAGAGAAGCTAACAGCCTACACTCTCACTACTACATCTGCATTTCAGAGATCTCATTCACATCCCAACATTATGGGATTAATTAACGGGATCCTACTGCATTTCAACAACTGGAGGCTTAATGACCACAGCAATTCATCCACAAACAAATGCATGATGTAGGATATTTCTGAGAAATACTGGTGTTCCTCGAAAGTTTTCAGAAATGGAAAT